CAAAGGAAAGGCCCAAGGGGCAGAGCCGTGGGTGTCAAAGAAGAGACCCTCAGGACTGCAGAGGGGTCCCCCCAACTGCCACGCTCGGTGCGTGAACCGGAGTGAAGACCAGAGCGAAGGCGTGGCCAAATGCAGATGGCGAAGGCCGCAGGAGCGGCCCCCGGACCGCACACTCGGAGAAGTGTGGCTGTGGAAGAAAGAAAGAAGAAACACACATTGAAAGGGCGATGGGGCTCAGCTAAGGCTTTCTGCCTAGACCAGACCCACACAAGCTGCAGGCATGAGGGAGAAGCCGCAAGTGGGAAGTTTGGAGGTCTTCGGGGGAGGGCCCGCTGACGTGGGTGCCGGGGGTGGAACTCAGTGCTCAAAGCAGAGAGTGCGCGGTGGGGCCTCGGCACGGGTTTGTCAGTGAACGGACAGCCACCCAGTGTGCGCTGGCTGGTAAACACCGAGGGGCCGCCTGGTGTCAGGGTGCCGTGAGGACGCTCTGAGTTCCGTGTGACGCGGGGCAAGTTACCGGACACCTCTCCGGTCTCCTGCCCCTCCTCTGCGAAATGGGGGCAGCACACTATTCTGGTGTGGGGCGTGAATGTTCAACGCACACGTGCAACGCACTGAGAGCGGTTCCTGGTTCATAGCGAGTGCTCACAACATCCCATTCAGCAATAAAAAACTACAGCTTTCTCTGGGAAGTAACGATCTTGCACGAGCCCAGGGCCAAGGCCCGTTCCTCAGCAATAGCAAACAAGAAGGCAAAGGTGGTTCAACGGACCCAGGGCGTACGCACGCTGAGGTTCCTTTTTGGAAAACAGACTTGAAAATGCATCAAGATTTCTGGTTAGCCAAATCTTCAACATATCCGTATTCAATGGCGTGGCGACCCTAAGTGACAGAGTAATCGTTTTTCATGGGTAACTGGAACTTTGTCCTCTGTGGCCGAGTCCCCTCTCCTCCAGCTCCTGCCAGCCGCCATTCTGTCTCTGCTTCTGTAGCTCTTTCAGATGCCTCATGTAAGTGGGTGTACACACATGTACACGTATATCATGTTATATAACACATATGTGTTCTTCTGTGGCTGCCTTATTTCACTTACATAAAGTCTCCTAGGTGTATCCTTCTGTCCAAAGGCTGAATACTATTCCATTGTACTGCATTGTAAAAATTGATTTTCTTTATTCGCCCCTGCACCTCTAGACTGCTCGCCTGTCTTGGCTATTATGAACAATGCTTCCATGGACAGGGGAGTGCAGACACCATTTCGAGATCTTGATTTCCGTTCTTTGAGATATGGGATTGCTAGATCGTAAGGTAGTTCGGCATTTATTTTTTCTTTCAGGAGCCTCCATGCCACTTTCCCCTTACAGCCTGCGCAACAGTGCATGAGGGGTCCTTCCTTCCACCTCCTCCCAACACCTACGATTCCTTGACTTTTTGATACAGCTATCCTAACAGATGTGAGAGAATGTATTATTGCGGTTTTGATTTGCATTTCCCAGATGACTTGCGACATTGAGCATCTTTATCTTCTTTGGCGAAACTGAGTTGCTTTGCCCATTTTAAAATCAGGCTATTTATTCAGCTATCAAAGTGTTTGAGTTCCTTATGCACTTTGGATATTAATCCCTTATCAGACACATGGTCTGCAAATATTTCCCCCCCATTCCGCAGGTTGCCTTTTCATTGTGTTGTTTCCATTGCTGAGCGGAAGGTTTTTAGTTTGGTGCAATCCCACGTGTCCGTGTTTGCTTTTGCTGCCTAGGCTCCTGTGTCATATCCAGAACATGGTTATCAAGGCCAATGTCAAGAAGCTTCCCCTGTTTCTCCCCCCTGGGAGTTTGATGATGCCAGGGCTTATGTGTAAGTCTTGAATCCATCTTGAGTTGACTTTTCATCTGTGCTGTGAGATAAAGGTCCGGTTCATTCTTTTGCTTGTGGATGTCATGTTCCCAACATCACACGCTAAGGGGACCCCCTCTCCCCACCACGTGCTCTCGGCAACCCTGCTGGGCGTCAGTTGGCTGTGCACGTGTGGGTTTATTTCAGGGCTCTGTGTCCTGTTCCGTTGGCCTAGATGTCTGTTTTTACGCCAGTACTCTCACACTTTGGATTACCACGGCTTTGTCACATGGTTTAAAATCGGCGGGCGTGATGCCTCCAGCTTTATTCTTCTTGCTCAGAATTGCTTTGGTTATTCAGGGTCTTTTGTGGTTCCACAGGAATTTTATGACTCCATTTGTGTAAAAAATACCATTGGGATTTTGATAGGAATTACATTGGATCTATAGGTTGCTTTGGTTAGTATGGACTTTTTAAGAATATTCTTTTAACCCAGGAACATGGGCTATCTTTCCATTTATTTGTGTCTGCTTCAATTCCTTTCATCACTGTTTGACAGTTTTCAGCGTACAGATCTTTCACTGCCTTGGTTAGCTTAGTCCTAAGTTTTGGAGTAATTTTTTAAAATTAAGACATTAGCTCCTGCTGTGATATTTTATGTTTCTAAATGATGAGTATATGCAGTATAAAGTTAAAAAGATGTTTTTGTGAAGTTTAGTAGGAAGACATTAAATGTGCAGCAGCATTTCTTTTGATTTTTAAAAAAGATTTTATTTATTTATTTTTAGAGAAGGAAGGGAGGGAGAAAGAGAGAGAGAGAGAGAGAAACATCAGTGTGCGGTTGCTGGGGGCCGTGGCCTGCAACCCAGGCATGTGCCCTGACTGGGAATCGAACCTGTGATGCTTTGGTTTGCAGCCCACACTCAATCCACTGAGCTATGCTAGCCAGGGCTCTTTTGATTTTATTACTCATTTTTAATGACCTCACCAGCATTCTGGGGCTGTGCTTTAAAAAGAAATGTTGAAAGGGGAAAATCGGGGTAGCTATCCTCTCTCCCTTTCAGAACAAATGGAATGAGCTGGCAGGTGCCCCCCAGGCAGGGATGGCTCAGGGTGCTGAAGCCTTAGTCAAATCAGGCTAATTTCCTTATTCCACTTGTCACGTTGGAGGAAGTAGAGGGAGAAGCAGGATCCTCACTCACCGCTAGGAATGAGGGAAAAACTGTGGAGTTTCCAGAGGAAGTGCTAAAAGTTGAAGTCAGCTCACTGTACTGCTGAGGTCTTAGGCTTGACATAGTACTTCCGGGTCCATATTTTCTCATTCCCCAAATGGGACATGGTTCATAACACCAGGAAGAGTTGACATAGGGACCACCCTGGAAAATCTGTAAGGGCCAGAAGTGCCTTGCTTCCTTCTGTTGCTTAACTTAGAGTAAGTAGTCTCCTCTTTTAAACTAAGGGTGAACTTAATCTATGCCAACCAGTAACTTGTATCAACTTGTAGTAAGCCAGTATGGTTTCTCTTTGGAAGAACAGGGGTTATGAAGAAGTTCAAGAATAGATAAGGTCGTGTCCAAAGCACCCTTACCCTTTGTGGGGGAGGGAAAGCAGATGAGAAGTAGCGAAGTCTCTGGACAAGGTGACCAATGGGAATCTCTTCTTGGTTTGTATGGAATATATGGTAAGTCCGCTAAATAATACCGACTCCTTAAACTGCGTGGCGGGAGAACCAGAGGCTGGACAAACTGTGGGCTGAACCTTCACCAAGCCTGAGTCACCTTTTGTTTGTTAGTTATGTCTGACCTGGAGCTAGGTACACCACCTTTTCGTGCCTCTATTTCTGAATCCCTGAAGCGGGGTTAATAATGGTGACTGCTTCACATGCTGCCAAGAATTTCTGATACATGCAGAAGTCTTAGTGTGGTGCCTGATGCACAACAAGCGCTCAGTAAGTTTTACCTATTATCATGAAGGCACTTTAAACTTGAGAGGCGTCTCACTTACAGACCCTTTTAATGGGGAGAGGCAGGGCAGGGGCAACACTTGCAAGGACCTGGATTCTAAGGAGTGGTGCTGGGGAAAAATGCATTTAGTACAACTGCAGGCAGAGTATAGCAGGGGCTGGAGGGAGGGGTAACCCTGTGTTCAGGAGACCCCCCTGCGCCCCAAGCCTCGCTCTCCAGGCGTGCTCAGATCCCCACGGTTCAGGCTTGAGAGCCCTCGGCTGGTCCCCTAAATAAATGCCGAGCATTAAAGAACACTGGTTTGAGCCAAAAGTATTAGCCTGCCCTTGGCAACAACACGTGGGTCATGTCCGGCTCACACAACAAATGCCCGCGTGGCTCCTCTGGGGGCAGGCATGGCTCTCGGAGATTTACGTACATCAGCTCACTCAAAGGCATCACTGCCCTGGGAAGTCGATGCCCTCCGTGTCCCCTTCGTGCAGGACCCTGGCAAGGTCAGGCAGCGGGCGGGGGATGGGCCCAAGCGGCCCCGCGCGGCGGCTCACAGCCTGGGCCCTAGGCCCACCGCTCCAGGGAAGAGGCCCAGGAAGCCGCGAGAGGGGCAGGTCGCCCGGGGCATCCCCGCCGGCCTTACGCGCCCAGCGCGGGCTCGCAGTGCAGAGCGGGCACGTTCGGGAGCCTCTGTGCCCCGCCGGGGACCGCAGAGCACGCGAGCCGGCCGCCAGCCCACCCGGAGGCGCAGGCCACCGAGAAGGTTCCTCCTGGCAGGGAGAGGCGAGCTGGAGGCGCGCGCACTGAGAGGCCCCGCACTGCAGCGCACGCGCACACCGGGGCGCACGCTCGCCCGCCCGCCGCCCAGGATGAGACGGAAGGCATGGAAAGTTCCAGCTGGTTCGAGAACCCTAGGTAGCCGGCGCGGCATTGGCCGCAGCGGCGGCGGCGGCGACAAGACCTGAGGGGGCGTAAGGGCTCCGTGGGCCTCCCCCGGCCGAACCCACAACGCTCTCCCGGCGCTACCGCCGCCGGCTCGGCGGTCCCGAGGGTCCTCGCGGGGAGCCGGGCTGTCGGGGGGCCGCGGCCGCCTTAAGAGGGGGGCGTGGCGTGGCGCGCGGGGGCGTGGCGCGCGGTCTGCGCAGCTGCCAGAGCGTTTAAGCCCGGGCTCGCGCGGCCGGAGCTGCTTTCGCCGCCCGGCAGCCTCTCGGCCTAGCGCCTCCGCGGGGGTCGGCGGTCCGCGCCTCTCAGCGTCTCGGGAGCCGGCGCGGGCCGGAGCGGCGCGCCGTGTGTTCGGGCATGCCCCGCTACGAGCTGGCTTTGATCCTAAAAGCCATGCAGCGGGTGAGTGACCTTCCCCGGAGAGCCCGACTTCCCGTGCGGGCGCCCCACGGCCGCTAGGCCGCCGCCCCTCGCCCTTCTCCTCCAGGCCGGGAGGGGGCCGGGGTCGCGGGCTGGCGTCCGCGCCGAGGGGCGCGCGGTTCGGCGAGGCCGCGTGCGCGCGGGTGGTGGGGGTGTGACCGCGGGAGCGCGGCGGCCGGGAGGGTGTGCCTCGCACGCGGCCGGCCGGCGGGGGGCGGGGGCAGGGCGGGCGGCGGGGGCAGTGGAAGGTCCGCGGAGGACACGCGCCAGCGTCCGACCCCTCTCCGTCGTCGCGAAGCTGCCTGGGTCCGGCCCCGCCGTCGCCGCCGCCGCCACCCGCCCCGCGGTCGCCCGCCCGCCCGCCCGGCCGGAACCGTCCGCGCTCAATAAAACCGTCCTCCAAAGCGTGCTGTGCAGTCGTGTCTGGACCACGGCCGCTTAGGGCCGGTCTCACGTTAAAAAACCTTTGACTTCTCTTTTTCTGACTCCAGCGGCAGTCCTGCGCCCAGTGCCCTTAGCCCCGTTTCATTCATCCAATCTGTGACCTTTTTTGCGCCTTCCGGAAGAAACTTTCCTCCCCTGCTTTCGGTTGAAATCGCGGTAGGGCGTTTCAGGTGTGGAGGGACGCTGAGCGCACCTGCAGCCCGTTTACAGGTAACGGTGGGGCCCAGGACGGGGCCCGCGGCCTGACGGCGGCTCCTCGTCCCCTGTGCTGGGTCAGGTACGCCGCAAGCCGGCGCTGGAGTCCCCCTTCTCCCGTGAATGCGGTAATGTAGCGTGTGCTGCTGTATGGTGTGTGCTTTTTTTTTTTTTCCAGGTATAATGAAAAAAAAATTACTACGTTTGAACTTTTGAAGCATGGCTTCCTTCAGTGCTAGAGACCTGGGCCAGTTTTCTGTGGGAATCGTGTTTTGGGTCAATTTGGAGGAGGGGCTTTTAGGAAGTTTGGCGGAACTCCAGCCCGGGTCGCCCGGTCCGGGCTCCGTGGAGACTGTCACAGGGCACTAGGCAGTGATTGCAGCCTCTGCCCCTTGGACGGCAGGAAAGGACCCCGTACCTCTCGTCCCCTGTGGCCGGTGGGGTGCGCAGGCCCGTGTGTCCCCCAGCTTGACATCCTAGGATTGGAGAGAAAAGATCGTAGTGTGGAGCCCCTGGCGTGGTCCCCCTTTCTTGGCCCTTGTCCCCCATATTGCTTAATGAGAGGAGAAACAGTGAAAAACAAAACCCACCTTATTGGAAAGGAAACCATTGTAATCCCGTGGAAACTGTTGGAGCTCTCCCTCTCACCTGGGCATTTGGGGAGCTACCGTGGAACCTGGTAGGCCGGTCATTGAACTCTCTGCGGTTTTACCATGTTCTGGGGAGGAAACAGGTGATCCCTGGAGAATCAGGGAGTCAGGAGCCTTTGAACTGAGACTTCAAATCCGACCCGGGCATAGCTGCCGAGTGCATTGGTTCCTGCTCCAGGCCAGCATGTGTGTTTTTGTGTCCTGTGGGTTTGGGTTTTTTTTTCCTTGGATGCTCCCGTATGCGGAGCATGCATTTCCCACCCTAGTTCAGATCAGCCACACGGCACAGTCTGGTTAAAACAGCAATTGAGTGCCTTGAAGTCCTGGGGTTGGGGGGGGGACCTTAAGGATGATCTTGGTGAGCAGTTCCGTCGAGGCCGGCTGCCAAGGTCATCATAGGACAGTGTTATGATGGTGAACTTGTGCTGAAGAGTTCCTTGACCTAAATAAAGTAAGATTAAAGAATAACAAAACTTATTTTTTGTTCACAGAAGTTACTTGTAAGTAGGTTGCAAATGTTTAAGAAACACACAGACTTGCTGGCTTTGAACAGTTTTCCTTTCAGTTTAGGAGAGCAGCGTTCTGAAATAGGGTCAGTGCATGGGGGGATGGATGGAAGAAGCTAACAGTGCGTGTATTTACTGCAGAGTGCCGCTGTGAGCTCCACACCTCTGGGAGGCTGGGGACCTGGGTTTTCATCTGCAGCAGTTTGTGCGCCCCCCCCCCCAAAGCCTGTTGGAGCTCCTCCATTTGAAGTCGCATATTTTTCGTATTTTTAGATCCTGAAATACATGCTTCTTACAGTACACCATTTCGAGGAGATGGCTTATTCCCTACCACATTTCCCCAGATCATTTACGTGTCCTGGAATTGGAGAAATCTGCTATTTTGGACAACTCTTAGAGCAGAAGTGGAAGTTGGGAGGCGGTAGTTTTCCAGCCTTTTCTTGGTTCCCAGAAGTGTTTCTCTGTTTCTTCTCTGGGGCCCTCTCGGCCTGAAGAGCATTCGCAGTCTCTTCTGGAGTGTCTTACCCTCTCTTCCCCATTGTTTTATTTCCTTTGACCCCTACCCGGACCCCTTACAATTGAGCACACTCACGAGTTTTTTAATTTAAAATGCAGAGGCCCTGTTGGGGCTCTCACAACACTGTAGCAAAGTCATTTGTGGGCGCACCCCCTTGAAAGGTTTCAGGGTACGGTAGTGCAGAGGGCGGGTTCCTCAGTCACGAGTTGCAGTGCTTCCCTCCGTTTGCAGCTGGGAGTCCCTGGAGTCTTGACTTTCGCTGTCCTCCCTTCCGCCTTTGTGCAGCGACGAGTGTGGAGACCAGGCCCTCCCCAGGAGAAATCGATTTGCAGGTGCCGTTTAGCTTGACTTTTATTTTAACGTGTGCCTGTAACAAAGTTGTTTCTATTTACCCCCAAGTTTTAATTTAGTAGGAGAAGAAGTGGGGTTAAATTCTGTAAGGGGTGTTGGGAAACAGGCCTGTGAAGGTGACGACCACATCCATTTGAAAAGACGGTTGCTGAGACCGACCTTAGACGGGGTGTGTAGGGGCATCTCCAGGGAGAGAAGATTCTGGCAGTGTCCGCACCGGCCCCAGTCAGGTAGCACCAGGGAGTTGTGTGCGTGTCTGGGAAACACAGCGTTCGGATGTGGAAGCGCGCAGCTGCGGAGAAGGGGGCTCCCGGCGTCTGTCCAGGGGGTCTGCACCCAGGGCGCGGAAGGTCTCTTCTGCCAGCTGACGAGGAAGCGGACGGCCCGCCCCCTGTCCTGCGGCGGCCGCAGTCAGGTAGATGGGGGGTGCCACGCGTTTCTTGGGCGACCTCTGACACTGATTTCTGAGCTCCTTTCTCTAAAGAGTGAGAAAATGGTCAGGGCCCTTTGATTTCACTTTGCAGTTAGATTTTAAAGACTGGTATTTAATTTCACTTGGGTAGAAGACTGAACTGCCAGTGCGGGAATGGGAAAGCCCCTGCCGTGCAGGGAAGCCCAGGACAGGCTGTGCAAACCGCAGGCGTTTGTTATCGGGATGGGTCCAGGAAGAGGAGTTTTGAGGTGGAAAAAAAGATCTGTGCAGAGCATTGACATTCTTCGGATATTCAGTTAGGAACACTTTGTCACGTCTTGTACAGGGTCCAGCGCAAAGAATGTCCCTTTTTTTTATTACAGAGTCATAAGCATGTCATTCTGTAACAACAGTTTCACACTCGAGCACACCATGTGACGTTTTAGGTGAAATGTTCAAATTAGAACCATGAATTATTACACCCACACGGTCACCCTGCCGACCACACTCGGGCAGGCGTTAACTTGTGCCGGACTCTGCTGGCCCGGATGGGCACATCCGGAGTCGGGAGCCCTGGGGAATGCTGCTTCCTGGGGTTTTCTCAAGTTTTCTACTGGGAGTTTTTACACGGGGAACTAAAGGTTAATAGTTTAAACAGTAACTGACTTAATTGCTAAATGAATGCATGCGTGTATAGTAAAACTGCATTTATGCACCTCTGGTGTTTGTTTTTCGAGTAGGAATAAGAGAGCAGATACCTAGCTTGGAAAGTTCTTTTTTTTAAAACACTTCACAAGCTATGTTTAATACTACTCACTTAGTTGTAATTTTATTGAAAAGCAGATTATATGTTAAATTTTAAGATAACTTATTGAAATAGTTCTTTAATTTACCACCTGGGATTTATAAGTTTAGAAATCAAAGTAGTGACGTTCCAGTTCCTAAAGTGTAGAAAGCAGTGGATTTTCTGATCGTGTGGTGAAGAGTTTTATTTCTCTTCACTCAAGCCTTTTTGATTAGGAAAGCTGGCAAAAGTTTTGTATTAGTTACAGAGTTGTATCTAAGTTAGGATCTTCTGAAAACAATAGCTACAAAGTGTTTGCACTTAACATACCTTTGGGGGAGGCATAGGGATCTCAGGAGAAAGTTAGCTGGAAACACCTGAGTTCTAGCTGTCAGACAGTGAAGTTATTTTTTTTTTCCTTCCCATGGGCGCTCCTTGAACAGCTTAGCTTGTATCTTTAATAATCACCCTTTGTGGGTTTTGTCTGCTTGAAATCGGACAACTTAAAATGGTTATCCAGTGATGAAAGACTGCAGCTCTGTGGACAATGTCATGCTTTCATCTGGTATTAAAGTGGACGAAGGAGTCCCCGTCCCGCCCCTGTGCCACCGCTGAGGTGCAAGGAGTGGCGGGCCCGAGGAGTCCTTCCCCACAGACACGGGCGCACGTGCGAAGAGCAGCGCCCGTTGGAAGTTGCCCTTCTGCACTCCCGTCTTTGTCTTGTTGCTCGTGACTCTCGTTTGATACTGACGTGCGGGGGTTTTTCAAATCTGGGTATTTACATGCAGACTGCAGTTGGGTCTTCCTGCCTTTAGACGGTACCGTCACCTTAAAGAAGACTGAGAGTGTTGGAAAGAAACGAGGGACGTGTCCTGTCAGCTGGCGCCTTTGCCGTAGTTGTGGTGCAGGGGTGATGCTTCTGTTCAAGATAAGGGGTGCCTCTCTTTAGTGGAAGGCAGTATTCTTAAGCAGCAACAGGGATCATCATCAGCATGTAATTATTTCTCAGGGACATCAAATATAAGGAATTAGTCCAATTTAAGAAAGTCACTCAAATTTAATGGAAGTCTGGTAAGTTACTGATTTAAAGAAGAAGCACCCTCAGAAGTCTGGGCAGGGCAGT